GCGCTGGACATTGCAGAGAGGATAAGTACGTTTGTACGTGAGACACGTTTGCACTCGCCCTAGAGCAGCGTGCGGTGTCATGGAGCCCACACACCAAAAGGCAGCCCCGCCCTCTCCAGCTCCCACCACCCACAGAGGCAAGAACGCCTGGAGCTGTAGCTGGCTTTTTCCTGCCTCTGATCCCGACTTGACTACTTTTGCCCTTCTCCATGCAAAGCCACCGTTCAGCATTTCAGGGAGACTTGTCTTTCACTCAGTGTAAACCTGGACCCTGCGAGTGAGAATGAGGAGAGGCAGGAGAAAAATCAATGCAGGCTACATGGACTTCAGTTAGTTAGATAGCTGTCTGAACACCTTCTGTCATTATCAGAGGTCAGACTTTAAAGACCTTAGCTTCAATTCTCTTCGATTAAAACGAAAACCCAAGTGACTTTCGAGGGCTGAAACCGGGAAGCCCGTGGTCATTAAGAGCTGCATGGCAATCAGGTGACCCAGAATGTCGGCTGGTGTGCTTTGACAACACGCTGGAGAAGCTCCCTAACCAGGTTGTGTCAGAGTGGGGTGTGCCCTGCTTTCTCAAGAAAGAATCACTGAAGTGCCAGCATTGGGGGTTGGAAAGAGCTTCATTGTGGTTGGGCACTTAGTGAATGCTCTTGCCGGGGACAGGAGTTCAACTCCACACTCATAGCAGGTGGTTCATACTGACCCAGAACTCCAACTCCGAGAGCTCTATCGCCCTCTTCTGACTTCTGGGGCCACCTGCACACAGATGCACACAACTACACATAGACATGCATGCAGACACACGAGAGCAACCCATAGTTAAACAAACAAAAGAGAAGACATGGGATCTACTCTCATGAGGGGCAGTGCTCAGTGGGAGGGAGCCTGACTCAAGCTGGATGAGGCGTCTTTGAGCTCTCCTCTTTGGTCCACTCTGCGCTGTAGCACGTACCTAATTGCTGTGACACAGATATGGTGTTCTCCACCCATTACATCATGCCATTTGCTCTTGCCCTCCATTCAAGATAACGCGAATACAATAAAGACACTTCTTCCCACGTGTTCCTGAGGGCGTTTTGGCCCTGGCTTCGTTCATCGCATGGCAATAGGCATACTACTGGGCACCCAAAGGAGAACCACACAGCTCCATGACTGCAGATGATGGCCCAAAGGCTGGGGGTGCGAAGGCTCTCATCAGGTTTTCATTGCAGAAAGAGTGCCTGGCTGAAATAAGCCACAAGAAATAAAGCAGTAGTCTGATGTGAGTGGACGTGGCCTGAGATCCTGGATGAAATCTTAGTTAAGAAAGGGTTCCATTGGTTAAGGCTTCTATAGAGTGCTTTAAGATAAGTAGAACAAGGAATTCCATCTTGACGTACAAAGTATTGCAAAGTACTGTCTAACCAAAAGAAGCCACGAACAGAGAAGCTGAAGACAAAACGGATGGATCCAAAGGGAATGCCATGAAGATCCCTGTGTGAGAGAAAGAAAGCTCCCGGAACACTGTCAAATGAGCATTAATCCCTGTCACAAGGAACAAGTGCAAATGGGCTTGGAGATAAATCTCCACTAATCTCCAGGCCTGAGGAAATCTTTTCAGTATGCAATCCATGGTAGCTTTGCTTCAGTGAGTGGGTGGATTTTAAGATGGATCTGAATAAAGTTATGAAAGTACTTATGATTAAATGACAATGACACCAAAACAACAAGTCCTAATTGTAGAAGTCCCAAAGTAGTACCACTTCTTGGATTTAATGTCCTGGACTGCTTTTTCTAGTGTGTTCTGGCAGGTTAAGTTTTGGCTGTGTAAATATGGCTGCCTTTGACTTTGCCTTCAACATTGAAAGTGCAGCAAAGATGAGTGAAGGGGACAATATGCACAGGTTAGCTTCATAGTCTTGGGAGCAACAGTGGCAGATAGGGATTTCTTCTTTTCCATACTGCTAAATGTCTAACTCCATTGATGATACACAACCAGCACAAAGATGAAACAAGCAACTGTGAAATACAAGTAGAAAAGCAAACCTGTTTAAGTCTGTATTTGATTATGACTTTTGTTTTACCTCCAAGATATGTAAAAAATTTAAGTAAAGTCCACAGGAATCAATCATGATTTAGGGTCAGGGTCAGGGTCAAACACAAATGTAAAAGACAAAACCCTGTACTACAAAGATAGGCCAGAGGTAGGGCTGGCGTGGGGGGAAAGGTTCTATGCTGAGAAAGTTTGGAATTGTTTTCTTACAACAACAACAACAAAAAATATGCCCATGCAAATAAGATCAGCTTGAGTCCACTTACCATTTTAGAAAGTCAAGTATTTGTGACAAAGCTACTTCCTTTATCAATGTCAGGACAAAACTGAGAACACACCCAGAGAAGGAAAACATGCTGGAGAGCCCATGCCCCCAAAACACAGAAAGTCACAGCTGTAAGAGTGTAGTTTGAGAAAAGCAGTTTGCAAGTATGCAGGAAGAATTTGAAACTGTCGACACCAGCCTGTACATGTCTCACAACCCTGAGCTTAGGTGAAAACGAGAAGCCAGTGAGTTCATTCTTGAACAGTATGGCTTCTTTAGCTTTGACCCAAGACCTGGTGCCTAGTCAGACAATATGATCATCACTCCATGTTTGAATGTAATCTCCTTGTGAAGATTCATTTATTGGTGTGTGTGTGTGTGTGTGTGTGTGTGTGTGTGTGTGTATACTCTAGTGCACACACGTGTTCATGCACACCATGACCTGAATGAATGTGGAGGACAGAGGAAAACTGTGGGAGCTGGCTCTCTTCTTCCACTGTGGGCTCCTGGTATTGACACAACTTAGTTAACTTACAAGCTGGGCCACCTCTCTTCCCCCAAATAAAATCTTGTTAAGGGGGCTGGGGTACAGTGGTAACCAAAGTACAGTATGTCCCTATCAAACTTCTTTTCTCCATCCTTCATTCAAGGTCTCCCTCGGGTTACAGGAGAGACTTCCTTCAGCCAAGCGGCTGGCTATCTATGCACACTCTGGAATCAGACTGAATGGTTGCTTATATCCATTAAATAATGTAGAATAATAGTAAGAAAAAAGTATTTTAGCAAAATAATTTTTCCAATACTTAATTCCCCAAGTATCTTGGAGGTGGCTAACTTTATCCTATAGATAGTCATCTGTCATTAATACAAAGGGGTTGGGAGGCAGGTGCTCCCGAGGCAACATGAGCCTCTTTCTCCTTATTTTTATTTGTGTGCACGTGTGTGAGTGAGTATTGTGTGTGCGCGTGCGTGCATGTGTGTGTTTGTGTGTGAGTATATGTGTGCATGCGTGCGCGTGTGTGTTTGTGTGTGAGTATATGTGTGCATGCGTGCGTGCGCGTGTGTGTTTGTGTGTGAGTATATGTGTGCGTGCGTGCGTGTGTGTGTTTGTGTGTGAGTATATGTGTGCGTGCGTGCGTGTGTTTGTGTGTGAGTATATGTGCGCGTGCGTGCGTGCGTGTGTTTGTGTGTGAGTATATGTGTGCATGCGTGCGTGCGTGCGTGTGTGTATATCACATGTGTGTTCAGGTACCCTCAGGGGCTAGAAATGGGTTCCAGATCTCTTGGCACTAGAGTTGTGGGTTGTTGTGAGCTGTCTGCTTTGCGTGCTGGGAACTGGACTCAGGTCCTTCGGAAGAGCACAAAGACTCTTAAACACTGGACCATCTCTCCATGTCCCCCTCACTCGATTTCTAACTCCATCCACGTCAATGCTGCCTGGTAGGCTGTACACAACCTGCAGAAAAATGTTTTGATTTTTTTTCCTTTGAAACCTCAAAAGGTGATTTTAATTACTTGTTGTTATCAGAGAAGGTGAGCCCTCATTTGTAGAACTGTCTCACTCCTTCCTGAAACACCGGAAGCATTGTTATGCCCTTGAAAGTATTTTCCGTGTACAGACATTGACCTCGCCAAAGGCAGGTGAAACACGGCAGTTTGTGGGCACTGTTGTGGCGTTTCCTGCCAGAGCGGCGACTAAGCACTTGGAGCAGGGGAAATGTGGTGGAGACAAGTTCAGCCAACGGTTGTTGCTAAAGTGTTCAGGCTTCTTTTAGTCAATGTGAAAAGGATGGGACTACCAAACCAGGAGTACTGACACCATCTATGAAACCATAAGGTAAATTCAAAGGCCTGTCTCATTAAGTCCCAAAGGCCGACGAGGAGAGGCAACACTGAAATGTCTGTTTGCCTCAGAGCACGGAACAACAGGTTTGGGGATTTTATTCTGCCCGTTTTAGCATTTGATTAAAACACTCTTCCTAGTCAGGACTGCGTCCCCCCTTTGCAATCTGAGCTTCTGACAAACCTCTGAGGACACCTGAAGCTGCCTTCTTTCTTTTCTGAATCGGCAATGAGTCAGACTTCCCCTCTCTGCAGCTTACTCTGCAGATCCCAGAGGTTCAGCTTCTTTTACCTGACCTTAACTCCTAACCCAGAGTTCACCTCCATGTTTCTCCCTTCCCTCTGACACTGTCTCCACATCCCCCTTCTCTTGTATTCACTGGGTTTGAGATAACTGGGCCCAGAATCAACTGTGTGACTTCATTTTGGCTAGAGGAATACATGAGAAGCCCCAACACAAATACAGACAGTTATGTGAGATAACTCAAACGTATGGAAGAGATAATTTAAAATAAAATAGCCTTGCAGGAAAAAGTGGTTTTCATAAATTGTTATTCCATTCCTAATGTTAACATCATATTTTAAAGCTTATTGATATTAGCGAGTTTACATTTCTGGATGAACTAAGATTACACTATTTTCAGATATTTTATCTCACACAGTTGAGAGCTCATATCTGACTGCTTGACTAATGAAGTAATTGGCACTATAAATAATCTTACCACAGTGAGATATGCTCAGATTTGGTGGCATCCCCAAGATCAATGTGCACAGGGTGAGGTGTCCGAGGGAGGTCTGCCGGGGGAATGAGGCTGGAAGGCAGGGCACTGACCAACGGCCTGCCCCCGAGGGCCTTACCTGACATCTGTGCACGCTATGCAGGCGATGCTGCGGCGGTTACTGGTGATCAGGTACAAAGCGACAGACGTGTCCTTGTCAGAGGTTGGGTGCGCTCCGCATTTAAAGAAAAATTCCTGGAAGAATGAGGGAAAAGGTCATTACGCATATGGGCGCTGCCTGGTTATTTATCCCTTCCAAGACATTGTTTGCAGTAAACAATCACTGGTGGGTAAGAGAAGAAATCTGCCATTGGATATGAGTTGGGAATAAATCACCATGGACTTTTGGAAGGAAAGAACAGCCTTGTCTGGTGCAGAACTAACTGGTCAGCAATACCCCGAGCATCCCAGACAAGCCCAGGCCTTCTCCGCATGGTCACCATGCAGGTAGCCTTACAACAAACAGGAGCATGTGAACCGAATAAAGGATCTGAGAGCCAGAGGACTCAGGGTCACAAGCACCGTGACAGCTGATATTGATCGCTTGGCTGACAGGACCCATCTAGCATTACCTAGGAGACACATCCTAAGTATGGCTGGCACCACTCCATGAGTTGAGGTTCAGGCTGAATCAAAGGGACAAAGCAAGTTGAGGACCTCCTTGACTGCTGCTCCTTAACTGTGTGGTTACGATGTGACCAACTGTTTCAGACTCCTGCAACCACAACTTGTCCACTGCCAAGGGCTTCCCCTCAGACTGTACACCGGGGCATACTCTTCCATCTTAGGTTGCTTTTTTCCAGCTATTTTGCTGCATCAATAAGAAAAGTAATCTTGGAAATTAGCAAAACGGCTTTATTGTTTTTCTATCTTAATAAAACCTGGCATAGGATAGGTGATGGGGAAGTCCTTCTGTTGTCTTGCTGGTTTATTAAATGAAGCACTGCTGGCCAATAGGGAAGCAAGATAGGTGGGACTAGGAGTCGAGGAGGATTCTGGGAAACAGAGGCACAGGCAGTCATGATGTAGGACATTGAAGGAGTAAGAGGTCCGGACCTTTTCTCCGGTAAGAGAAGACCATGTATAAGCACTCAGATTAGCAGTTGTGGGTTAATAATAAGTCAGAGCTAGCCGATAAGAAACCAAACAAACGGCCAACAGCTTCATAATTAATATAGTGTCTTGTGTGTTATTTGGGGGCTGAGACAGCGGTGGGACCCAAGAGGCTGGCGGGAAGAATGCATGTTACAGATAGGCATTGAATTTATTTTATCAAATGAAAATCTGCAGTATTAATTACTAAGTGGAAACCTTAAACATTTAATGACAGCACTTGAGTTTGTTCTCTCCTGCGTGAAGCCTGAGGAGTCTTCACTGGGTCCACCGCCTGAAGACCCTAACTCTGAGGTGTCTAAGAACTGCTTGGGAAGGGTACCCACCTCCTGTGTTCAGTCTGAAGCTGGAATCAAGCTTCTAGTTAACCTGTATTTATCTGACCCAGGGCAGCACTGTCGCAGAGAACCCGTTAAGCACCTCAGTGAACTAAATGGGTGTGCAGGTACACTCTGGAACCTCGGTTCAAGTTCAGGGTGCCGGCAGAGTCCGATGCAGGAGTCCAGGTCCTCACTGCTTCATCATAGGAACTATATGGCTGATTGCTTTTCTGAACATTGGATACCATCTTAGTCAGTGTTCTACCATGGCAATGCTTATAAATGGAAGCATTTAATTTTTAGCTTGCTTATAATTTCAGAGGTTCAGTCCTTTGTCATCAGGCCAGGAAGCCTGGCAGTGGGCAGACAGAGAAGGCACTGGAGAAGTTGAGAGATCTACATCTGGACCCTCAGGCAGCAGGATGAGAGAGAAAGACTGGGTCTGGCTTGAGCTTTTGAAACACCAAAGCCCACACCCTAAGTGAAACAATTTCTCCAATGAGGCCACAGCCTCCTAATAACTATCAGGTAGTGACACTGCCTAATGACCACACATTTCAGTATATGTGCCCATTGGGGCCACTCCTATTCAAACCATCACAGAAGCCATTTGAAATGCTACAAATCCTTCAAGGTCAACAGGGGGATATTGGGAAAAAAATTAAAATAACAACTGACCTCTTAAACAAAAGGTTTGAAGGACATGGCTGACCCTGTGAAACAGACCGGGCTGCCTGCTACTGCCCTTTGCAGGCATAAGGAAAAAAAATTCTTATCTCTAACATAACGTAGTTCCCTCAAAAGAGCTGAGTTGGCAGAAACATTGAGGATGTTTTTCATATACAGATACATGGAAAGTATAGTTTTTCTTAGCTTGCAGAAAGCTACTGGTAGACACTTAGATAACAAATCACAGAATTGTTCTAACACTATATGAAACTCAGCCATATAAAAGTCAAAAACCCTTATTACTGGTGGTAGATGTTTGTAGACAATAGTCCGCATTTAAAGATTTAGAAAATTCTGTTAATTCAAATGATATTAGAAAACTGCCATAGAAAAATTCCAACTCTGTACATTATGTATAGTCCCAGCACATTCTCTACCAGTGTTTGTGAGTGGTGACTTTTCTACAGTGTAACTGGCAAGACTTGGGAGGGATCCAAGGCTTTGTCTAGCTTGCAAGCTGTCTACTTCATCTGCCACTCCATCACAGATGCTGGCAGAAGACAATGGACTCATGGAGACAGGGCATTGTGCCCTAGCAAGCTCAGGGAGAAGAGGGAGCGCTCGGTTGAGTGCCACCCTGCGTGAGTGGCAGCAGGCAGCTGGTGGTTCTGAGCTTCGGGAACACGGATCTTTAAGAGGAGCTGTGAGGTGAGCAGGCCTTACTTTGCTCCTGAAGGGGGACATTGTCTTTATTATACAGGATAATTAGCAAATCTGCCTTTTGTCCTAGAGGGAGACATTAGCTTCCTCTTCCAAGGTCATTAGCTTTTCCCTGCAAAGATGGTCTGAGGCGAAGGGTAGTTAACGGCTCCCTCTTGAGATGAGCAGAAGCGAGAGGCCAGCAACTGTCTCTCAGCAGTGCAAACGAACTTTCATACAGGCTAATTAGCAGTATGATCTACTTGTTCCCTGCAATCAGTAGGCTAAAACTTAAAATCTACACTCAAGCTCAAACGCACAAACAACAACAAAATATCATGGAAGTCAGGAGAGGCTTTTCCAGAACACCACTCTGGGTGTCTCTGAGAACTTCCTGACAGAGGGGAATCTCATAGCAGCCTGGTTCTGGGGAAACAACTGTGGAAAATTCTTCCTACATCTCACAAAAAAACCCTCATAAATAAATGGAGGGGGGTGTGCTGTGGTAATAAACTAAATTAATTCTTTCACCTAATGGTTCTCCCACTGAGACCACGCACACTTCTGGGAAGTCTTTATTGACCAAGAAGCTAAAATCTATGACAACGATTCCTTAGTTTTGTCTAGTTTTCAAATGATAGACAAACTATTAAAAATAAATAAAGGTGAGCCTGAGGAAAAACAAGACCTTGAAAACAGCACTTGGATTTATTCTGAGGCTCTGCTAAATGCATTGCTGCTGTGCTCTGAGTCCCACAAACCATCTGCCTCTAGGCCTCACGTGTATGGTGTATGCTTACACACTGACCCTCCCCAGCAGGAGGCTGCGGCCTTCTCATTCTCACTGAGTTCCGGTGTTCACCCAACTTCCTAGTCCAGATGGAGGACATACCTGGTCTGTGGTGATATATTGTTTATTAAAGCCACTGGAGAGCAAAATAGCAAAGCAGCCAGACTAGTTAGCCATAGAAGCCAGGCAGTGGTGGCACACACCTTCAATCCCAGGACTCATGAGAGGTATTTAAGACAGAAACAGGGTCTCAGAGCTGGCATTCATTCTCCAACCACGCCGAGGACAGGAAGGCATTGAATTCTCCAGCCACAGCGAGGAGAGGCAGCCGTCTGTGGCTTAGTGAGAGCTCATGGAGAGAATCAGCCTCTCAGCCTGCGGTAGAGAGGTAAGAGCTTTTCTGATCTTCAGCTTGAAGCTCGAACCCCAATATCAGTCTCTGGGTCTTTTATTGTTCATGTCACACTGGTCCTCTACTGAGTTCACAGCCGTAACAGTTAGGGTCCACTCATGGGGGAAAGTCTGGGCCTCTGCAGCTCAGTGTCCACCGGGTCCCTGGTAGTCACCTCCTCCATTCACTCCCAAATTAAACTATCACTTTTCCTGAGCACTGCCCTTCACAAACAAAAGGAAACCACAGCCACCAGAATACAAAGGAACATGCCAGCCAGCTAAAATAGAGGACCAGGAGTCCAGCTGTGTCAAAATGTATAGGATCTGGAGCTAATCCATCACCCCGAGGGCTGTTTGATGGGTTCTCACGTACTGTAGAACAACGACAAATGGGTGCAAAGCCTCCCTTCCCCAGTCTATTCAAAGCTCAGAAAAGTATGAGCAGGGCCCATCTTCTCATTCTTCTATGAGTCTTCTAATAGACTTTATTGACCATCCTAAGGTTAAAATTTTATAGATATCGTTTACCAATCATGTTTCCACATAAAATGCCATCTATCTTTACAAAAGCTAAATTCCATCTCAGTCTCCAACTCTGTCTTAATGAAACCCACAAAAGGAAAGCCCGTGTTTCTATTGATGAAATAGTGGGGACACCCCCATTTTTCACAAGGAAGGCTGAGACAATTGTGTGTTCTATGCCTAACCTGTATGGGGGTGGCCATTTGCACGGCTCAGACTCCAGCTGAGGGAACAGTGCCCATGGATGTCAGGCAGCTCAACTGAGGGGACTCATTGCTAAGGTATAGCGCTAGTGTATAGTGCTAATGTATAGCACTAAGGTATAGCGCTAAGGTACAGTGCTAACGGTGTGTGTACAGGAGACACAGAAACACTGATGGAGAAAAGAAGCAGCCATTGGTTTGGCCTCATTACGGGCAGCTACCACCTAGTCCTAGAGGACAAATGAGAATGCGCTAATTCATCACGGCTCTGCATCAGACTGTGTGTCTGGACCTGGGACAGTGAATGTGGGGGGTGGGTGGGTCCCATAGCCCCACATGTAAGGAGAACTCCCCTAGGTTCCAGCTTTGACCTTGTCTATGCTTCCTGTCACCTGCCTGGATGAAGGAGGGGTCACTGAGAGCTGCCATCTGCCGGGGTCAGACGAGACACAGAGAAGACGAGGGGGGGGCGCTGTGGGGAGCTGG